CCCGCCTGTGCGAGGCTCGCGCCCAGGCCGCCGCCGCCGCCCTGTCAGGCGACTCCGAGCCCGAACCTGACGCGGCCCCTGATGTCGAAGGGAGCAGCGACTCGGAGGTCGACGAGGACCTGGAAGTTCCGTGTCCCAGCAGATACAACAGACGAGTATCAGTCTCTGCAGAGGCTTATAACCCTGATGAGGAAGAAGATACCGATCCGCGGGTGATTAATCCTAAAACTGATGAACAGAGATGCAGACTTCAGGAAGCTTGCAAAGATATTCTTCTTTTCAAAAATCTTGATCAGGAACAGCTTTCTCAAGTCCTGGATGCCATGTTTGAAAGGACAGTCAAAGTGGATGAGCATGTCATTGACCAAGGAGATGATGGAGACAACTTTTATGTCATAGAAAGGGGAACCTATGACATTTTAGTAACAAAAGATAATCAACTGCGTTCTGTTGGTCAGTATGCCAACCGTGGCAGTTTTGGAGAACTAGCCCTGATGTACAATACACCGAGGGCTGCCACCATCATTGCCACCTCTGAAGGCTCCTTGTGGGGATTGGACCGGGTGACTTTTAGAAGAATCATAGTGAAAAACAATGCAAAAAAGAGGAAGATGTTCGAATCATTTATTGAGTCTGTGCCACTCCTTAAGTCATTAGAGGTGTCAGAACGAATGAAAATTGTGGATGTGATAGGAGAAAAGAATTACGAGGACGGAGAGCGCATAATCACTCAGGGTGATAAGGCTGACAGCTTTTACATCATCGAGTCTGGCGAAGTGCGCGTCATGATTAAGAGCAAAACTAAAACAAACAAGGATGCTGGGATCCAGGAGGCTGAGATTGCCCGCTGCCACAAGGGGCAGTACTTTGGAGAGCTTGCACTGGTCACCAACAAACCTAGAGCTGCTTCGGTTTATGCAGTTGGAAATGTCACCTGCTTAGTTATGGATGTTCAAGCATTTGAGAGACTTCTGGGGCCCTGCATGGACATTATGAAGAGGAACATCTCACACTATGAAGAACAGCTAGTGAAGATGTTTGGCTCCAGCTTGGATCTGACCGACCCTGGACAATAAATAGATATGCCACATCCCAGAGCCTTCTCAGTGTAACACCAGACCTTTCTGGTGAGCCGCAGAACACATACAGAAAATAGACACGACAGAACCATTTCTGCTGTTGCCACCAGTGCTGCGATTGCTGTGGTTTTGGGCATTTGGAAAATTTGAACGTCAGCACTAAAGGATGAGCAGAGGTTTGACCCACACCTCCACTTTGCTTCTGAAAGCCTACTATAAAACCACTCGAAATGATTACTTCAACCCAGTTTTTGCATCTTTGGTTTAGAATGGCATGTCTCCAACAATTTAAGTGCCTGATACAAATTCCAAAGTGTAAATATCCGTTCCTCTCTTGCCGCTATTGCTTTTGGAAGTTACCATAAAGTCTTCAGGAACCTGCTGTATAACTGTAGACACCCTCCTCCCATCCTTTTCAAGGGAAGAAATGAGGCCTTCAGTCTCTTCATCTGTCCTTTGGGAAAGTCCACAATGTGTTAACAATTGCCTTTGTTTTTGTAGTAGAAAATGGTACCAGATGTGATGAAGGTCTGTGGTCCACTGGCATTATTCGGCCTGCTAACAGCTTCACACATTATAGCTGTTTGCAAATCCATGGTGATGCTTATGGAAAGGCATGGCAGGTTAGTACTCCAAAGCAGACTGAGGTTAGTAGAACCCATGTTAGAGCAAAAATAAATTAACTGAGCACATTTTACCAGCAGTAGAGAGCAAGGAAAGGTTTTCTGGGTTGGAGGTTTTTTTCTTTTGTTGAATATTTTGTTTAACTTCTGTAGTTTGCATGAATGAATAAATGGACATCCATTTTTAAGGAGCGAGGGGTGGCCATTTAGTTCATTTGGTTAGAGCATGGTACCAGTAGAAGTAGCTGGGATCTGGAGGTGACTTTGCTTTTCTGAGCTAAATGCTTTCCTCAGCAGGTCTGGTTATTGTCCATTCCTTCTGCTTGAGTTGTTCTATAATATGGTTTTTGAACTATCAACTTTTGAATTCTTTAGAAGCTCCCCTCCCCTCCCCTCCCCTTCCCTCCCCTCTTTCTTGACTGAGCATGGAGGAGCAATACCTGTAGTCCCAGCTCTCAGGAGGCTAAGGCAAGGATATTTCTGTGAGTTCAAGACCAGTCTGGACTACATAGTAAGTTCAAGGCCAGCCTGAATTATGCAGTAAGACCCTGTCTCAAAAAGAAAATGTATCTTAGGAGAATTACCCTTGGGATGTATTCATCTATATGGAGCTTGTCACCTGCCTCAGACATTCATTCTGAAGTTCAGCTCTGTGTTGGTTTCCAAAATCATTGGGACTGGGGATATACCTCAGTGGTAGTGTACTCACCCAGCAAGCATGAAGCCCTGGGTTCAGTCTTCAGTACCACACAAAAGAAAATAAAAGTCATCATTTACAGTTCCATAGAATTGCCATGAAGCCTTTTAATTAAGATGTTGGGATATATGGGGTTCTAATCACTTATCCCAAAGATAGTAATTTAGCTTGTTTTTAAAACATTTTTAACCTATTAATTTTAGCAGGTAAAATTCTAGTGAATTGTCCTAATTAGCTATATTTCAGAATAACTTTTTTCTTCATAATCATTTAGAATCAGATGCTACAAGGGATCACTGAAGTAGGACTCTTTCTTCAAACTATCCTGGGTAACCTGTGTTGCATCTCTCAGAATCATAAAAGGTTGTATGTAACTAATACTGCAAAACAGGCAGCTAGCACTGGGAAAGCCCATGTGGTGGTCCCACATTTTCCTAAAGTTCTTTTTCTATGGTGTTGCTTTATTATCAGGTAAATTCAGAAAGCAGGTCTTGTACTTTATCAGATAAGAGCCACACCTGTTTCTTGCAAAGATATAGCATGTGCATTGGGTTTCAAGAGTGACTCAAAAGTCCAGCCTCAGACCTTGTTAGGACTGTGTTTGAATGCTAACAAGATGCCCCCTGCCACTGCTTCATGCCAGCATGGGTTAGGGTTATCTGAATGCTGTGCCAGTTACTGCTATGTATGGGCCTTCTCACAAGTCCCACTATGTCTTTTCTTTCTTTTTTTTTTTTTTTTTTTTTTTTTTTTTTTTTTTTTT